TGTGGTTAAGGCGTCTGACACTCTGCCACCACTAGCCCTCCACCCCTGGGTCGCGGTGGCCATGTGGTTAAGGCTTCTGACATTCTGCTACCACTAGCCCTCAACCACTGGGACGCAGTGGCCATGTGGTTAAGGCGTCTGGCATTCTGCTACCACTAGCCCTCCACCCCTGGGTCGCGGTGGCCATGTGGTTAAGGTGTCTGACATTCTACTACCACTAGCCCTCCACCTCTGGGTCGTGGTGGCCAAGTGGTTAAGGTGTCTGACATTCTGCTACCACTAGCCCTACACCACTGGGTCGCGGTGGCCAGGTGGTTCAGGCGTCTGACATTCTGCTACCACGAGCCCTCCACCACTGGGTCGCGATCGCCATGTGGTTAAGGCGTCTGACATTGTGCTAGCACTAGCCCTCCACCACTGGGTCCCGATGGCCATGTGGTTAAGGCGTCTGGCATTCTGCTACCACTAGCCCTCCCCCACCGGGTCGCGATTGCCCAGTGGTTAAGGCGTCTGACATTCTGCCACCACTAGCCCTCCACCACTGGGACGCGGTGGCCATGTGGTTAAGGCTTCTGACATTCTGCTACCACTAGCCCTACACCACTGGGTCGCGGTGGCCAGGTGGTTCAGGCGTCTGACATTCTGCTACCACTTGCCCTCCACCACTGGGTCGCGGTAGCCATGTGGTTAAGGCGTCTGACACTCTGCCACCACTAGCCCTCCACCGCTGGGTCGCGATGGCCATGTGGTTAAGGCGTCTGACATTGTGCTAGCACTAGCCCTCCACCACTGGGTCGGGGTGGCCATGTGGTTAAGGCGGCCGACATTCTGCTACCACTAGCCCTCAACCACTGGGACGCAGTGGCCATGTGGTTAAGGCGTCTGCCATTCTGCTACCACTAGCCCTCCCCCACTGGGACGCGGTGGCCATGTGGTCAAGGCGTCTGACATTCTGCTACCACGAGCCCTCCACCACTGGGTCGCGGCGGCCATGTGGTTAAGGCGTCTGACACTCTGCCACCACTAGCCCTCCACCGCTGGGTCGCGGTGGCCATGTGGTTAAGGCGTCCGACATTCTGCTACCACTAGCCCTCCACCACTGGGACGCAGTGGCCATGTGGTTAAGGCGTCTGACATTCTGCTACCACTAGCCCTCCACCACCGGGTCGCGATTGCCCAGTGGTTAAGGCGTCTTACATTCTGCTACCACTAACCCACCACCACTGGGTCGCAGTGGCCAAGTGGTTAAGGCATCTGACATCCTGTTACCACTAGCCCTCCACCACTGGGTCGCGATGGCCATGTGGTTAAGGCGTCTTACATCCTGTTACCACTAGCCCACCACCACTGGGTCGCGATGGCCAGGTGATTAAGGCGTCTGCATTCTGCTACCACTAGCCCACCACCAATGGGTCGCGATGGCAAAGTGGTTAAGGCGTCTGCATCCTGCTACCACTAGCCCACCACCACTGGGTCGCGAAAGCCAAGTGGTTAAGGCGTCTGCATCCTGCTAGATATAAATATATCGACTATGTGCTGTCTTTGAATAACAAGAAATGTATTAACCACATCGATCGTATAAAACCTCCAGAGCTTGAATTCAAGGACACAACAGACTCTTCTACTTCAGCTGCTTCCAAAAAGGTTGGCAGCGGCTAACTTCTAAGCTGTTTAATGAGCGGGACGATTTCGAACTTTCCTTTTCTTTATACCAGCATTCCGGCTTCCCCTTCCTACAGTGTTAACATGTCGTAGTTGAATCGGTACTCGAGAATTTGCTTCGAATATCACAACTTCCTCGATAGATGTCGACTGCTTCTCAAAGATGCGGGTTGGTGAAGACTATGGAAGAGTTGTATGGTCGCCATCAGGATCTGCCAGAGAAATATGCTATTGCTTTGTGTGATATGAGGTCGAAAGTTTGCTTTTGCTCATTTGAGTGCCTTGTGGTTTTGTTGTCACTTTACTTTGTTCAAGTTTTGCCATAGTTTGATCGATTTTGAGTTCGAATTATGGTTTTATTGACACTTCGGTATTTTCTTGTTGCAACAAAATAGTCGTGATTTTGATCGACTTTTTTGTCATTATATTTATGGATATCAATTATTGAAACAAAAATGATAAACGGTTGCTATAAGATTTTGTCGAAACCCTAGGTTAATTGGATTATGTAGCACATATTTATTTTGGCAGTTCACAAAAAAACTAGTTAAAAATATATGTGCGGTTGTAGCAAAATGTTGTAATGGCGCAGTACTATCTATTGTAACTTAATGTTGTAAGTGCGCAGTACGTATCTATTGTAGCCTAATGTTGTAATGGCGCAGTTCGTATCTATTGTAGCCTAATGTTGTAATGGCGCAGTACTTATCTATTGTAGCCTAATGTTGTAATGGCACAGTACGTATCTAGTGTAGCCTAATGTTGAAATGGCGCACTACGTATCTATTTTAACTTAATGTTGTAATGGCGCAGTACGTATCTATTGTAGCATAATGTTGTAATGGCACAGTACGTATCTATTGCAGCTAAATGTTGTAATGGCGCAGTACGTAGCTATTGTAGCCTAATGTTGTAATGGCGCAGTACGTACCTATTGTAGCCTAATGTTGTAATGGCACAGTACGTATCTATTGCAGCTAAATGTTGTAATGGCGCAGTACGTAGCTATTGTAGCCTAATGTTGTAATGGCGCAGTACTTATCTATTGTAGCCTAATGTTGTAATGGCACAGTACGTATCTATTGTAGCATAATGTTGTAATGGCACAGTACGTATCTATTGCAGCTAAATGTTGTAATGGCGCAGTACGTAGCTATTGTAGCCTAATGTTGTAATGGCGCAGTACGTACCTATTGTAGCCTAATGTTGTAATGGCACAGTACGTATCTATTGTAGCCTAATGTTGTAATGGCACAGTACGTATCTATTGCAGCTAAATGTTGTAATGGCGCAGTACGTATCTATTGTAGCCTAATGTTGTAATGGCACAGTACGTATCTAGTGTAGCCTAATGTTGAAATGGCGCAGTACGTATCTATTTTAACTTAATGTTGTAATGGCGCAGTACGTATCTATTGTAGCCTAATGTTGTAATGGCGCAGTACGTATCTGTTGCAGATAAATGTTGTGATGGCGGAGTACGTATCTGTTGCAGCTAAATGTTGTGATGGCGGAGTACGTATCAGTTGTAGCTTAATGTTGTAATGGCGGAGTACGTATCTGTTGCAGCTAAATGTTGTAATGGCGGAGTACCTATCTGTTGCAGCTTAATGTTGTTATGGCGGAGTACGTATCTGTTGCAGCTTAATGTTGTAATGGCGGAGTACGTATCTGTTGCAGCTTAATGTTGTAATTGCGCAGTACGTATCTGTTGCAGCTAAATGTTGGCATGGCGGAGTACGTATCTTTTGCAGCTAAATGTTGTAATGGCGGGGTACCTATCTGTTGCAGCTTAATGTTGTAATGGCAGAGGACGTATCTGTTGCAGCTTAATGTTGTAACGGCGGAGTATGTATCTTTTGCAGCTAAATGTTGTAATGGCGTAGTAAGTAGCTGTTGCAGCTTAATGTTGTAATGGCGGGGTACGTATCTGTTGCAGCTTAATGTTGTTATGGCGGGGGACGTATCTGTTGCAGCTTAATGTTGTAACGGCGGAGTATGTATCTTTTGCAGCTAAATGTTGTAATGGCGTAGTAAGTAGCTGTTGCAGCTTAATGTTGTAATGGCGGAGAACCTATCTGTTGCAGCTAAATGTTGTAATGGGGGAGTACGTATCTGTTGCAGCTAAATGTTGGGATGGCGGAGTACGTATCTTTTGCAGCTAAATGTTGTAATGGGGGAGTACGTATCTGTTGCAGCTAAATGTTCTAATGGCGGAGTACGTATCTGTTGCAGCTTAATGGTGTAATGGCAGAGTACGTATCTGTTGCAGCTTAATGGTGTAATGGCAGAGTACGTATCTGTTGCAGCTTAATGTTGTTATGGCGGGGGACGTATCTGTTGCAGCTTAATGTTGTTATGGCGGGGGACGTATCTGTTGCAGCTTAATGTTGTAATGGCGGAGTACGTATCTGTTGCAGCTTAATGTTGTAATGGCAGAGTACGTATCTGTTGCAGCTTAATGTTGTAATGCCAGTGTACGTATCTGTTGTAAATCTATAACGTTGGAAGGGTTTCATAGTCAACTTTATCTCTCTGCTAAATCTTTCGGAAAAGTTTCAACATGATTTTCATTTTTAGACTTTCAATACAAATTGACGAAATGTCCACAAGGTGCAGTAAATGTTTTTTTACATCGACTAATATTTTCTAAAGGGAGTTTTTTCACTACACATTTCTAGTGATTTTATATCAACCAGACAGCCAGCCATTGCGTCTTCGTCTGTCAATTCAGAATAAGTGTCCCACACTGTTATTATTTACTCAGCAAGCCAATGAAGATCTGCAGCCAATATCACGAGCTGACCATTGCAGACAACACGGCATGTATCGGTACTAAGCGAGACTGACGACAAACAGCACTGCCCTCTCCTCCACAAACGTTTTAATAATGTATATTTTTTAATAGTTACACAAACATTACAAACAGAAAAGTTCGTATAAAAGCATTTTTTAGAAAGAGTGACAAAGGTGGTTTTTTTAGTTTTTTTTTTATGAAAATATCGTTCAATGAAATGTAAAAGTGGCCACTTGCAAACATTTATTACCATACTAGTAAACCAATTAAAATGTTTCCATAGCAATGCATGGCATAACTGTCACCTGCAGAAATAATATTCAAATTGTTATGTTATCAACATAACAGTTTGAATATTATTTCCACAGGTACGTGGCAAAATGTATTTCATGCTACTTTAGTCATTGTAGTTTGCCTGAATTCTTTAAATTTAGGATAAATAAATTATAAAGTAAGCCATTATATGCAGCCAAACAAAGGAAGATTAAAATTTCTGTTTGTATTTCTGTGACTGTTCATAAACAAATACAAAACACATAACAACTGCAAAAGAGTTTATAGTTTATAGCAAGCCCTCTGGTTCTTTTCCTCAATCTTGTTCACTGCAAGTGTCCAAAATGCAATTAAAGGGAGACAACTTAAAGTTTGACATGTAAGCATGTACATTCAGACTGGAGACACAAATGGCCATGAGACACAACAGACACAGATATATTACATTTACATATTTATTTTCCTCTCAATTGTACAGCTTTTCCATCCAAAGCCCACGACTTGTCAAATAACCTTATACCATGAACATCAAGTCAGTTGTCAGGAATACAAATATCGTCCAATGCATCAAATTTGCTGAAAAACATTCAAAAAATATTACATTTAAAAGCATTTTCAGCTAGAGTGAAAGTGTTCTTCATTGTACATTTGAACACATCAATACATTGAGACTGGCCTGTAGTAATACACTTACTTGTGCTATACAATCTACTGAAGGAAGGCTTCTTCCAGCTGCTCAATGAGATTGCCCATTTCAATTAAATAAGCTGGAAACGTCACACTCGGTTAAATCATGTACACAATACACAACCAAGCATGGTTTCCCACCAATGTGAACAGTTTACAGCCACAATCTGTATCATAGCAAAATCATGGGATAAATACAGAAAATACTAGGACCAACTTTTTAACAAATAATTCCTTTCTGAAAATTCATAATAAAGTCACAAATTGATGTTGATCTTGTTTTTAGGTCTACATTGTGTAAGCTAAAAATAATTGAAGAGAAAGGTTTCCAGTACGTGATGAAAATATAATTTTACAAGAAGAAAAATGAGTTTAAGGAATAATAAATCAAACCAGATATATATCATGAATCAAGACACCACACAGACACCACATACATAAAATTGTTATTATCAGACCAAAGGTTTCGACACTGAGGCAGTCCTATGTCGCTACATATCATTAACTACTTAAAGTTCCACCCTTCACAGGGGTAGGCCTGGCAACGAGTGCATCATTTGTCAAAATTATTTTTTCGTTACATTTTGATTTATTAATCCTTTTGATGACAACACCACAACAAAACAGCATTGCAGATTTAATTATTATATTCAGCAGTCAAAACAGACAAATATTTTGATTCTGTATCACAATTAAGGAGTCTTGCATCTAATTTCCCCATGGTAGAAAACAGTTTCGTCAAAGTGTTCTATAATGAGGGAATCATTTATTGTAAATTATTTTCGATGGTTTCAATTTAAGCCGAGGTGAATTTATTGTTATTTGAACTTCTTTTAGCAAAATTTTGACACCACCAAAATGAGCACCTGTATTACAGCAGCTGTATTTTCTCCAACTTCTGTATTCATCAAAATCATTTACAATGAATTAGATAAAAAGATTATTTACTAAGCTACCAAGGAATTTCTTAGGAGGGTCATTCAGCTGAATCAAGTTGGGCTAGATCAAGCTGATGATGAAGTAAGTGGGTCTGGTCTAGAAAGTCTAGCAATCCAAATCTCTCTAAAAACTTTGAAGATTTTTTGTTACTTTACAATAGTACTTCCACAATGTAATAAATGAAAAAAGTGAAGTTATACTTCTCTCCTATCTTTACTTATGCAAGGCACATACCGATGTGGAATCTCAGGTGTAAGATTCAAGGTCAAAACCTCGACTTCCTTCATTCTGACCTCCAATTCTTCACCATTAGGTATCATTTCTATATATGAATACTGTGGAATCACCAATTTCCATGGGGTTTTTAAATTCATTGATTTCATAGATAATCTTCAACCACGAAGTAATTACAAGATTGATAAAAAGCAATTCTGCGTTTGAGTGGATACTCTTAATCAACAAATTCATGTACCCAATAAATGAAGGGTGTTCTATCAGGCCACGAAATTTGGGCCCCAGGAAAATTTCAGATTTCACAGTTTATCAAATACCACATCACTTTGTCAACAATCAGATATAGTAAATCGTGTGTCAAGCATAAAACAGTATTGTGCTAACCATTTCTAGAAACATATTCAAATCCGTCAACAGAAAGTTCAACACAATGAAACACTTTTTTCATTGCAGTGTTCATTTGTAAGATCTTAAAACATTTTCAGATCATTATGCAGTTTTACTCCAGGGGAAAAATATAAAACCCACCATTTCTCGTTCCAATAACCTGGTCTACTAGTAGGCTCACAAAGTATACAATCTGGATATGTTTATCTGAAAAATTAGCTTAATTTTTATTTTACTGTAACAAACAAAATCAACATTTTGCTAAATTTTAATACAATTTCCAATAGTTTTTTTTTACAGTAATGAAAGAATAACAAGACATATATCAAGTATACAAGACCTTATGGATGTGTATTATAAGGTCACACAGTTTTACAAATTAAATAGTTTGAACTATTCAACAAAAGTTTGATATTATTTTAAATAGAGTGATTGCTGTGAACACTAGCACTTCAAACTTACAGTGTCTGAATCTGATCGATTTTCTTCCTTCACCAGAAACATTCCTCGAATACCTTCAGATTGCACAAAGGCAACTTTTCATTCAAATTACCTACAGCATATAGTAAATGCAGTCACTACAGGTGCCCCACTTGTGTTGGAGTTGAGACTCGGGATACAAAATTGCTAGTGACTACAAGGAATGGGTCAATGGCTGGCAGTCTCTGCTGAGAAATAATAAGACTTATACCACACAAACAAGCACACATCAATTACAAGCAACAAATAGCAATCAAACACATGATTAATGCCTGCTTCATGTCTTGAGAACTTTCGATCACTTTCTGAAAAATGGACATAAAATCACCATGTCCACATCTGCCAGACTGATTCTAAATCATGAAGGTGTTCAAACAATCCTGGAGAAAGTGACTAAAACTAACATGGTGAGTCACACACCCTTCTAGATCTGCTTTAACCCTTTCACCACTGTAGACCATAAGGGACTCATCAATATCAATGCATGGTGGAGTCTGCTTAAGTTATATAGGGGTGAAAGGCTTATATTATACAAATTCTGAAGGTATAATTCTTCAGAAGCACTGATACATAAACATGTATTGTGGCAAAGCATGCTACTCTAGTTGTCTAACCTTTTCACCACTGTAGCCCATTATAGACTCATCCAGATGAATGTATGGAAGAGTCTACTCAAGTTACCAAGGGGTGAAAGGGCTAAGCTACTTGTACAAATGAGATTTTACAATTAATAACTTAATTTCTTTGTTTGTGGCAAATGAAATATCTAAATTACACTTCAGTGCCAATAAGACAGAAATACTAATGCAAAATATTCTGTATGCCCAAACAAATGTAAGATTTGAAGTAAGACCTGACTCGGGTACAAACATGTAGTCACTCCATACCAATGGTACACAAACCGGTATATTGAGGTGGGAGAACCTAATCCAAGATGAGGTATGATAGGTGAACTACAAACAAGCATAAAATGGTAGGTCTGTAAACAATTGTACATAAACTCAGCTGTCGTAAAACATTGGTGTTTAACCTCTTCATGTTTACAGCACTGCATCAAAATTAGTCTTAGGTTCACAAAAAATAAATATTTGTAAATTCTTTTTAAAAAGAAGCATAACACTTAACATTTCATATTGACATGATATACCTGCTTAGTTTTTAAAACTAATTTCAAAAAATAAAACCATGATTTTTTAACATTTTTAATTTGTTGCAAATTAATCAAATTAAGAATCAAATTTTGGCATCTGATTTGTAATACTCAATCGAAGGAACTGTTGTCAGTGGTATACCTATTTCATGTTCAGATAACAGAACAGTTTAAAATGCCATGGACATAAACATTTGCAAATGGCATTCATATGTACAGAGGTTTCTACAGCATTTCAATCAATAATGTCTTTACACATAAATGTGTGATGATGTCAATTTCAAAACAAGAGTCAGTCACATGACCCACAGACGACCAATAAAAAACAGAGTGGCCTTGTCTATGGTTAGCACTTACATGAGACAAGGAAACTTTCCCTTTTATGACAGCAACTGAAAAAAACAGGAAAATGCATCAGACAAATAGGATTACCAAGGGCTCACGAAAGTCATCGACATATATTGGCCCAATCTTATATATAAAGTATTCAGATCTAACCTGGTACCTATATTTATAAGAAACAACTCACATACACATATATTGATTGACTCAATCTTATATATAGACTAACTGGCTCCAACTCAACTTATATTTATAAGCAATTGCTCACCTCCTATTCATCAAGACTAACTTGAGTAACTAATCTACACACATATATATTTTGGTCGATGTAAAGTTAAAACTGAAAGTCACTAACCAATAGCTCTTGCTCTCATTCAAGAATTAGACAACGGGACATTACTGCCACCGCCAAGATTTGGAGAGAAATCCCAAAATCCCAACCATTTTTAAAAGTTACTGATGATGTGTACTAAGTTCCATCAAATGAATGTTATAATAAAACATCCGTTCTGTTCAGACAGACTTCTCTCTACAGTCAGACGTCCTGATTCCAGTATACCCCATACCTATCATAAAATGAATGATATAATAAAACATCAGTTCTGTTCAGACAGACTTCTCTCTACAGTCAGACGTCATATGATACCTATCATAAAATGAATGTTATAATAAAACATCCGTTCTGTTCACACAGACTTCTCTCTAGTCAGACGTCCTGATTCCAGTATACCCCATACCTATCATAAAATGAATGTTATAATAAAACATCCGTTCTGTTCAGACAGACGTCTCTCTACAGTCAGACGTCCTGATTCCAGTATACCCCATACCTATCATAAAATGAATGTTATAATAAAACATCCGTTCTGGTCAGACAGACTTCTCTCTACAGTCAGACGTCCTGATTCCAGTATACCCCATACCTGATTTCATTGTTGAAAGTAAAACAATATTCATATTAGCGGTATCTTGCCTAAAAATGTATTTAATAGCAAATTTTTCAAGCATTGACAAAAGTATGAACAAGGAGAAACTTGCATACACGTAACCACAGCAATGGTTGTAATTATTATTAAACAATATTTCATCGACATTTATTGGTGTCGACTCACACATGTTATTAGCTAAAACTCGCCTAAACATACATTATTTGGCTCAAACTCACCTACCCAAAAAATCATAAGCTCAAACTCATATATATACAGATATTAATCGGCTCAAACTCACCTATTCAGGCTTTTACTGGCTAAAACTGTCCTAAATATTCCTTAATTGGCTAAAACTCACCTACACACACATTAAAGGGACAATTTAGTGAAGTAAGTTTTTTTATAACCTTGCCACAAAAAAAATCATGATCATATATATAGTTTGATACTCCTTATGAACAATAATTCATGTCGAGAAATCGATAAGAGACAATGTTTCCTTGGCGTTTTTTATCAGTAAAGGAGAAATCCTTAAATGTACAGCCTAATGTTTTAGTGGCCGCTGTCGGTAAATTTCTAGCTAACAAAAATGTCTTTCCAGTCGAGGAGAGATGTTAACTCGGTTTATTCACCTAGCTATATAGCCTCTCTAGAATACAAGTACATGCATTTATTCATCTTCAAACAGCATCTCAAACGTCGTTATAAATGAGTGATCTAGTTTCCATTTAAATCATTGATATCATACGTTCTGCAGTTTGACATTCTCCCTGCGGCGCCCTCTCAGTGCGTAATTGAATCTGATCGTTTCTATTCAAATCCAAATATGAACAGAATTATATGATTAGAGGCATATATTATGATACTTATAATTTTTACTTGAGAAGTATTGTGTAAAATCAAGAATGTGTTGTGTGAACTCAGACTCATAACTGACACTGTGTTGTTGGTCGAAAGCTTAGTGCTGAACATGTTTACTTCTCATTGAAAGGCCCGGATATTGCGCTATTTCGGTCATAGCTATTTTCATCACCGGCTTTCCCAAAGGATGAAACAGACCACACTGGAAGTTGACTTCAGGTCTTGTCATTATCAACTACGTAAAGTTTCGTTAGGAGATATATATTTTCAGTATCTACTCAATTTTTAGGTTGTCATTTGACTAAATAGCCCCTTTTAATTGGCTAAAACTCACCTAAACAGTACATGCATTATTTTGCACAAACTTTCAGACACAAAATTCATAAGCCAAAACCCATCTATACATATATGTATTGACTCAAACTTACCTATAGACTTTTACAAGCTAAAACTCACCTACACATTCATTAATTTGCTTAAACTAACCTACACACACATTAATTGGCTAAAACTCACCTATACATACATAAATTTGCTCAAACTTTACGACCGAAATTCATAAGCTCAAAATTATCTACACACTAATTGATTCTAGGTCAACTTCACATAGTTTAATACTAGCACTATCTCACCTATATAGTAATAAGTTCAAACTCACATACACAATATTTATAATCTCTAACTCACCTTTACATACATTTATTAGCTCTATGTACATGTGTTAGCCTTCCTTTCTACATGTTGCTGTTTTCACTAGTGGTTCGCGATCGATTTTCATCAGGAGCACTTTCTTCTCTGGCCTTGCCTGTGCCGAAAATGCTTGAGTTGCGTGACACAACTGCTGCACCTGCTATTGGCGCCTTAACAGTTCGTGGGGCCAGTTTTAGTCTGGGCCTGGCTGCTGCCGATTCTGAAAAATAAAACAGATGGTATTATATAATCAGTCAACTTGATGATTTTCTTTTTAATTGCTTACATGGAAAGACCATAAATGTTTAAATATACTAACAACACATAAAAATGTTAATAGTTTCCTAGGACCGACATGCATGGGTGTCTATAGGTTTGGCATATAATACAGTGGCTGGGTGTTGGTCATATCTACATATCTGTGTGTTATATAATACAGAGGCTGGGAGTTGGTCATATCTACAGATCTGTGTGTTATATAATAAAGAGGCTGGGTGTTGGTCTTATCTACAGATATGTGTGTTATATAATACAGAGGCTGGGGGTTGGGCATATCTACAGATCTGGGTTTTATATAATACAGAGGCTGGGTGTTGGTCTTATCTGCAGATATGTGTGTTATATAATACAGAGGCTGGGTATTGGTCTTATCTACATATCTGTGCGTTATATAATACAGAGGCTGGGTGTTGGTCCTGTCTACATATCTGTGTGTTATATAATACAGAGGCTGGGTGGTGGTTCTATCTACAGATCTGTGTGTTATATAATACAGAGGCTGGGTGTTGGTTCTATCTACAGATCTGTGTGTTATATAATACAGAGGCTGGGGGTTGGTCATATCTACATATCTGTGTGTTATATAATAAAGAGGCTGGGTGTTGGTCTTATCTACAGATATGTGTGTTATGTAATACAGAGGCTGGGTGTTGGTCCTATCTACATATCTGTGTGTTATATAATACAGAGGCTTGGGGTTGGTCCTGACCACAGATCTATTTGTTATATAATACAAAGGCTGGGTGTTGGTCCTATCTACAGATCTGTGTGTTATATAATACAGAGGCTGGGAGTTGGTTATATCTACAGATCTGTGTGTTATATAATACAGAGGCTGGGGGTTGGTCCTGTCTACAGATCTATGTTATTTATATATATATATAATACAGAGACTGGGTGTTGGTCTTATCTACATATCTGTGTGTTATATAATACAGAGGCTGGGGGTTGGTTCTATCTACAGATCTGTGTGTTATATAATACAGAGGCTTGGTGTTGGTTCTATCTACAGATCTGTGTGTTATATAATACAGAGGCTGTGTGTTGTTCCTGTCTACAGATCTATGTTATTTATATATATATATAATACAGAGACTGGGTGTTGGTCTTATCTACATATCTGTGTGTTATATAATACAGAGGCTTGGGGTTGGTCCTGACCACAGATCTATTTGTTATATTATACAGAGGCTGGGTGTTGGTCTTATCTACATAAAATATACTAACAACACATAAAAATGTTAATAGTTTCCTAGGACCGACATGCATGGGTGTCTATAGGTTTGGCATATAATCCCGTGGCTGGGTGTTGGTCATATCTACAGATCTGTGTTTTATATAATACAGAGGCTGGGTGTTGGTCTTATCTACAGATCTGTGTGTTATATAATACAGAGGCTGGGAGTTGGTCATATCTACAGATCTGTGTGTTATATAATACAGAGGCTGGGTGTTGGTCCTGTCTACATATCTGTGTGTTATATAATACAGAGGCTGGGTGTTGGTTCTATCTACAGATCTGTGTGTTATATAATACAGAGGCTGGGTGTTGGTCCTGTCTACAGATCTATGTTATTTATATATATATATAATACAGAGACTGGGTGTTGGTCTTATCTACATATCTGTGTGTTATATAATACAGAGGCTTGGTGTTGGTTCTATCTACAGATCTGTGTGTTATATAATACAGAGGCTGGGGGTTGGTCCTATCTACAGATCTGTGTGTTATATAATACAGAGGATGGGTGTTGGTGCTATCTATAGATCTATGTGTTATTTAATACAGAGGCTGGGTATTGGTCCTGTCTACAGATCTGTGTGTTATATAATACAGAGGCTGGGGGTTGGTCATATCTACAGATCTGTGTGCTATATAATACATTATATAATACAGAGGCGGGGGGTTGGTCCTGACCACAGATCTATTTATTATATAATACAGAGGCGGGGTGTTGGTCCTGTCTACATATCTGTGTGTTATGTAATACATAGGCTGGGTGTTGGTCCTGGCCACAGATCTATTTGTTATATTATACAGAGGCTGGGTGTTATTCTTGTCTACATGTCTGTGTGCTATATAATACATTATATAATACAGAGGCGGGGTGTTGGTCCTGTCTACATATCTGTGTGTTGTATAATACAGAGGCTTGGTGTTGGTCCTGACCCCAGATCTATTTGTTATATAATACAGAGTCTGGGTATTGGTCCTGTCTACAGATCTGTGTGTTATCTAATACAGAGGCTGGGGATTGGTCCTGTCTACAGATCTGTGTGTTATCTAATACAGAGGCTGGGGGTTGATCCTATCGACAGATATGTTTGTTATGTAATACAGAGGCTTGGTGTTGGTCCTGACCACAGATCTATTTATTATATAATACAGAGGCTTGGGGTTGGTCCTGACCACAGATCTATTTGTTATATTATACAGAGGCTGGGTGTTATTCTTGTCTACATGTCTGTGTGCTATATAATACATTATATAATACAGAGGCGGGGGGTTGGTCCTGACCACAGATCTATTTGTTATATAATACAGAGGCTGGGGGTTGGTCCTATCGACAGATATGTTTGTTATGTAATACAGAGGCTGGGGGTTGGTCCTATCTACAGATATGTGTGTTATGTAATCCAGAGGCTGGGTGTTGGTCCTATCTACAGATATGTGTGATATGTAATACATAGGCTGGGGGTTGGTCCTATCTACAGATCTGTGTGTTATATAATACCGAGGATGGGTGTTGGTGCTATCTATAGATCTATGTGTTATTTAATACAGAGGCTGGGTATTGGTCCTGTCTACAGATCTGTGTGTTATATAATACAGAGGAAGGGTGTTGGTCCTATCTACAGATATGTGTGTTATGTAATACAGAGGCTGGGGGTTGGTCCTATCTACAGATCTGTGTGATATATAATACAGAGGCTGGGGGTTATTCTTGTCTACATGTCTGTGTGCTATATAATACATTATATAATACAGAGGCTGGGTGTTGGTCCTATCTACAGATCAATGTGTTATATAATACAGAGGCTGGGTGTTGGTCTTTTCTACAGATCTGTGTGTTATATAATACAGAGGCTGGGGGTTGGTCTTGTCTACAGATCTGCGTGTTATATAATACAGAGGCTGGGTGTTGGTCATATCTACAGATCTGTGTGTTATATAATACAGAGGCGGGGTGTTGGTCCTGTCTACATATCTGTGTGTTATATAATACAGAGGCTGGGTGTTGGTCATATCTACAGATCTGTGTGTTATATAATACAGAGGCTGGGGGTTGGTCTTGTCTACAGATCTGCGTGTTATATAATACAGAGGCTGGGTGTTGGTCATATCTACAGATCTGTGTGTTATATAATACAGAGGCGGGGTGTTGGTCCTGTCTACATATCTGTGTGTTATATAATACAGAGGCTGGGTGTTGGTCCTGTCTACAGATCTATGTGTTATATAATACAGAGGCTGGGGGTTGGTCCTATCTACAGATATGTGTGTTATGTAATACAGAGGCTGGGTGTTGGTCCTATCTACAGATCTGTGTGATATATAATACAGAGGCTGGGTGTTATTCTTGTCTACATGTCTGTGTGCTATATAATACAGAGGTAATCTAAAATTGCTGCTTTCATTATCATGTATTGTGAAATTGATCATAAATTGAGGTAATGATTTTTAAGCATTTTTGCACAACAAAACTTTTTCGTTTGCAAGTAAAATATAAGTTTGGTTTATAGCAACTACTTTAAAATGCATACATTTCTGAGTTGCCTCCCACTACATCCGAAAAATAAAATCTGGAATAGCTGGAATAACTAGGCCTCTTACCTGGGGAAGCTTCCCTCAACTCAGGATCAGCCTGCCCTCCACTGTTCTGTCTCCTTCTAGGTGGGCCATCGTCAGAGCGATTGTATCCCCCTCGGTCTCCCCTTGGACGGTCGTTATACCGGTCTCCTCCATCACCTTGGTAACCACCACCACCTCCGCGGTAACCACCACGGCCACCTCCTCTATCCCCTCCTCTATCACCATGACCGCGGAAGCCACCTAAAGAAGTAAATTGTCAGTCATCTGTCACCACTGATACACTGAACATGAACACAAACTTCCAGACAAACATGAATAAATGCTTGAAATAAACACTTAAAAATATAAGGGATGTAGGCAAATAATCTGGAGAGCCAAAAACTCAACCAGATATTAGATCAAATCTCTTTTAAGGAAATGAATGATATCTGGACAGTGGTTTTGCTTGAAAATACTCTTGATTGAAGACATTAATATAACAAAGGTACTCATACTAAACTTTCATTATTACTAAACCAATTAAGTAGACTTGATATATCTTGATATACAATTTTCTCTTAATAACAGATCTACATACATAAAATAATCATCCCTCAAAAAATTAGATCCTGTAAGACATTTTGTTTCCTGTTAATTATCAATAGTTTGTTGACAAGGCTCTAACAATAATATAGCGAGCAGAGACTTGCATAGATTCATTCGCAACACCTACTTTTCCTGTGACCCTTCGACCTTGACTGATGATGACCAAATTTAAACAGACGTAGAACTCAATATTATCATACTATGATGTAAATATAAACTTGATTTGTTGTGGGGTTCAGGAGATATCTTGTATATAAGCTTTTTACTACAGACACAGACTCACAGGGACAATTACTGATTACAGTGGAACCCACTTATTATGATATCGGTTATTATGATATATTGCTTATTATGATATTTTCCCCATGTACTGATTTTTTCCTTCTTTAACTACACAAAAATATCTTGTGGTGGGACCCCGCTTATTATATATTTTTCTGCCTTGAATGGATTTTAAAAGGAAAAAACTTGGGTAAGTTGTCTGTGATAAACACCTGGACAATTAAGCAATAGGTCCGGCAAACTGTACATCGCCCTAGGTGATCACCTGTCCACTCCAGGTACATTTTTCACACCTCGCCTCACCCCAGTCAGCAGAAAACAATAGATCGACTAATCGCTTGCTGGTCATATATTTTAGTCTGAACAAAACATGTGGTGCTATTATTTACTATCTGAAATGCACTGTAGGACTGTGTATCAAATTGAAATGATTAAGCCTACCAACATTTTCTGACACAAACTCTTATAAGAAAACAAGCAATATTTACGGTTACCTTGACACGTCATGTGAGAAAATCATGCCGATTTCAATGAAAATATAACTTCAGAAGGAAGACATGTGTTTTTAATAATTTAAAGTTAATTTCCCCCGTGTCTCTGTTGAAAAAGTGTCAAATTCGGGACAGACCGCCCCAACAGCTTGGAGCCTGAAATCGATCCAAAGTTAACGTTATTGTCATAAACAACTGACGAAGGCTGATTATTTACAATTGACACCATTTTCGTTAAATACAATAATTGATTATTGTTTAAAAGGGAATATTTTGTGTTTTTCATTATTATTGTTTCTTTGCAAGTTGATTTCACCGCACGACTTGCGTGGCCTGTGATGGTCACTTTATTGTAATTGACATAGCGCGGCAAAATATTTTTATGCTTATGGGACAAAATGTAACGCAACTTTCATCTTATTGACTGTAACATAACGATGGTTTTAGCGAGGATAATCTTCTCTTGGGAGCAGGTATTGATTGTTACGTCACTTGTTTGTGAGAGTAACGTCATCAATATTTGAGAAAATGACGTAATTTTCTCACACAAACCAATGACGTAACAATCAATACCTGCTCCCAAGAGAAGATAACTCTGCAATACGCAGACGGAATAGTATAAAGATAGTTCTGAGGAATATGCTTTAAGTTATTTGAAAGTGAAAATAGAATTTACATACTGACATTACAATGGTAAAACGAAATCTTCTCGAATTTTTCCACCACGCTGATAGAAATAACAAGGAACAAATTATTTCAATTATTACTTTATCAGTTTGTATTTGTATTTTTCCATGTTTCCATATAAATCTATGTCTGATTAATATAGGGCATCTCTGTCACTTCCGGTTTAGACGACATAAAAACAGTCGAAATCAGATTGATCAGTTATTATGATATATCGGTTATTATGATAGTTTTCTCTAGCAAATAGAATATCATAATAAGCAGGTTGCATTGTACTATATACACCCTTCACTAAGTGATGATATTACCATCCTGTCCGCCTCCTCCGCGGCCTCCCCCTCGGCCACCACGGAACCCTCCACGTCTGTCATTCTGTCGGGACTCAGCCACATCTACTCGTAAATTTTTATCCTCAAATAGCTGTAACAAATTCAAAATCTCTGACACCAATATTTATATATAGCTGTTACATATTAACATAATAAAACAAGAGGCCCAGAGGGCCTGTATCGCTCACCTGGATACCAAAACAATCATGGCAAAATATTCTCTGAATGAGATCAAGGGAATATGCCAGACCCCAAGGCCAATCCTTGTAGCATATCTGTACATGTATTAGATTCTTCATGCCCAGCAATTTTATGTATGGTTATGGGGTGGGGATCTCAACTGTTTCCAAGCTTTGACTCAGAAACTAGGTCCCTAGGGTTGTGGCCAGACCCCAGGATCAATTCTAATATCGTGACTGCATTTGTCTCTTTTTGCCCAGCATTTGTATATATAGTTTTGGGGTGGGGATCTCAACCATTTCAAAGTTATGACCCAGGTGTTAAGTCTGCAAGGGTGGGGCAGATTCCAATATCATGACTGCATTCGTCTTTTTATGCCCAACAATTGTATATATAGTTTTGGGGTGGGGATCTAAACCATTTCAAAGTTATGACCTAGGGGTTAAGTCTCCAAGGGTGGGGCAGTCCCCAAGGCCATCCTGGAAGCATATGTGCAATCATCTCTTTATACTCAGCAATTGTATATACCGTTATAGGGTGGGGCTCTCAACTGTTTCCAAGCTGTGACTAACAAACTAGGTCCCTAGGGGTTCGGTCAGACCCCAGGGTCTATTCTGATATCATGACTGCATTCGTCTTTTTATGCCCAGCATTTATATATATAGTTTTGGGGTGGGGATCTCAACAGTTTTAAAGTTATGGCCCATGACTATTTCTCCAAGGGTGGGGCCAGACCCTATAGCCATCCTGGAAGCAAATGTGCATTCATACTTTATACTCAGCAATTGTAAACCATGGTTATATGGTGGGGATCTCAACCATTTCCAAGTAATACACTTTTTTTGGCCTCAACCCTTAGCCCGGGGGGGTCAGCCCGACCATTTGTATAATTTTGAATCCCTGCCTCCCATGAATGCTTCCGACCAAATATGATTGATATCCATGGCATAGTTCTACAGCAGAAGTCGTTTATAGCAATATAGCCAAATTGCCCCCTTTTTGGCCCCGCCCTCAGCCCAACCATTTGTATGAATCCCCACCACCCTACCTAGGGATGCTTCCAGTCAAATATGGTTGATATCCACCTCTTAGTCCCAGAGAAGAAGTCGCTTATAGCAATATTGCAAAATTGACCCCTTTTTGCCCCGTCCCTCAGCCCCCTGGGGGGTCAGCCCCACCATTTGTAAAATTTTGAATCCCCACCACCTCGGGATGCTTCCAGTCAAATATGGTTGATGTCCACCTCTTAGTTCCAGAGAAGAAGTCGCTTAAAGCAATATAGCCAAATTGACCCCCTTTGGCCCCGCCCCTCAGCCACCTTGGGGGTCAGCCCCACCATTTGTACAATTTTGAATCCCCACCACCTAGGGATGCTTCCAGTCAAATTTAGTTGAATTCCAATCGATGGTTAAGAAGAAGAAGTCGTTTAAAGAAATTGTTGACGGACGACGGACGGACGGATGGACGACGGACGGACGGATGGACGACGGACGTCACGGTATGGCCTAAGCTCAGGTGAGCTATAAACAGTACACCCAACATGTAAACGTTATACACCATCTAGAAAATAAATATTTTTTTTTATATTTATTTTGCCTTGAAGAACATTGTAGAGTTTCCAAAGGAATTGCTCCACTTGGTTTTTATTTTATCCTACATACTACAAACATGTAACAATAAATTTAGCATAGACAACTCGAGACAATAACCTTGTACTGTTCAATGTACCAGTAATACGTACAGAAGACGACGCTGCACGTAACGAACAGGATGAGATTGACATCAGAATGGTTGCCAGAAGTATAGGGATCGGAAACCTGGACTTAGTAACACACTTTCGACTAGGAAAAAAGGTTGAAACAAAAACAGGTCCACTCAAAGTTGTCAAAAGCACAAAAAGTTACTACTTCAGAAGGCTAGTAGTAGTAACATTCCAAGAATCAACTTGCCTTCAAATTAATCTCAAAAACAACGACAAACTGATGATATGTTGTGTCTACCGTAGTCCAAACAGTACTCAAGAAAACAATGACCATCCTAATAGACTCTTGAAAGAAGTAGTTAACAAAAAAACATCACATCTAATAATAGTCAGAGATTTTAACTATCGAGAGATCAACTGGGAAACCATAAACACAACAGTCAACGTCAGCCACCCTGCATCTATTTTTCTGGAAAATATACAGAACCGTTTTTATTCCAATGTGTCAACAAACCGACCAGATTTAGGGAAGAGAATGTACCTTCTTATATTACTCGACATCATTCTTGTTAATGAAGAAAATATGCTAAACAATAGCGACGTAACATATCTCCCTGGAATAAGGAAGAGTGACCACATCACCATGTCTTTTATACTATGTCGAAAGTGAGCCGTCAAATGCACAACAAACTAGAAACTTTCATAAGGGGAGTCACACTGCAATAAAGGAGGATCTTATACAAGCTGATTGGTCTAAATTAGACAACTGTCTCAACATGGAGGAAGCTTGGAACTGTTTTGTTGATAACCTATCAAATATTGTAAAGAAACACGTACCAGAGAAAAAAGCAATTCCGAGGTAACTCTAAGAGACCACTTGACTACAAGACCATTGAATCAATCCACAGGAAACATAAAAAAAATGGAAAAAGACGGCTGAAAACTTGAACAAATTCAAGCAAGCAAGAAACGAGGGAACAGCTAACATCAGGCGATCACCCTATGTACACGAACATAAACTGGCTGATGAGATTAAAACCAATCCAAAGAAATTCTGGAAGTGCGTGAAATCAAAAAGGAAAACAAAATCAACCATTAACAGCTGCTGGCTTGAAAAAACTAATGGAGAACACCAAGAAACTGCGGACACATTGAACAATTACGTTTCCTCAGTTTTTGTTGAAGACGTGACGGGAGAACTCCCAAATATTACCATGAAAACACCAAACACATCACTGAACAGGATTGAAAACAAAAGCCCTGGGCCCCGAGGGTTTACATCCAAAACTGTACGTTGAGGCAGTATCAGAAATTAAGAAACCATTATGACAACTGTTTAAAAAAATCACTCCAAGAAGGAAAATTACCTAAGGCCTGGAAGGAGGCAGATGTATACATAACACCTATCCGTAAAAGAATCTTAAAAACGGAATCTAACAACTATCGTCCAATTAGTCTAACTGCAGTGGCCAGCAAAATTCTACAACGAATCATCATGGAAAATTACTCGCACACATGGAAACAAACAACTTCCTTAAAAACTGCGAACACGGCTTTAGATTGGTTAGGTCATGTACAACCCAACTATAAGAATCTTTGGACTATTGAATGGGAGGGCTAGACAAAGGGGAGACAACTGATGTAGTGTACCTAGATTACAGCAAAGCCTTGACAACGTGTCTCATCCAGGCTACTACACAAACTTTTCAGTTTTGGTGTGGAAGGCGAAACCCTCAACTGGATAGATGATTTTTTGAAGAACCTCGAACAAAGAGTAGTAGTGAACGGTTCAGAGTCAAGTTCAATCAATGCCATGAGGGGGGTCCCACTGGGGAGTGTGTTAGGACCGATACTCTTCCTATATACATCAACAATTTCCCAGATAACATTTCCAGTACTACAAAACTTTTCGCAGATGATTCAAAAATCTATAGAACTATTAACGCAGAGAGGATACAGATCATCTCCAGTCAGACCTTAACTTAATCTGTGATTGGACTGCCACATGGCTCATGAAACTCAACGTGGATAAATGCAAACAATCTCAATATTGGACAGACGAGGGACAATCACATGTACACTATCATGCAGGATGATCAGATCTGTACAGTAGACAGTAAAAAAAGACCTCAGAGTTATTGTAGACAGCAAGGCAAAATTTGAAAATCACATATCAACCTCTGTAGCAAAAGCCAACAGGGACCTAGGTCTCATCTTTAGAACTTTTATATTTATGGACAAAAGTAGGTTTCTAACACTGTACAAATCTCTTGTCCGCCCACACCTTGACTATGCTAGTGTTGTTTGGTCACTATATTTGCTAAAAGACATCAAACTACTGGAAAATATACAAAGGAGGGCAACTTGTTTAATTCCGAGTCTAGCAAACAAACCCTACTCAGAGAGACTGTGCCATCTAGGGTTACCTACTTTAGAGTACAGAAGACATACAAAGGAGGGCAACCTGTTTAATTCCGAGTCTAGCAAACAAACCCTACTCAGAGAGACTGCGCCATCTAGGATGACCTACTCTAGAGTACAGAAGACACCGAGCTGACCTGATCCAAACATACAAGATCCAAGAGGGAACAGAAAATGTTCACTGAAACCCAGGATTCCAGAACAAGAGGGAACAACAAAAAGCTATTTAAAAAGAGAACCAACAGACAAGTAAGCTGTAACAGCTACAGCAACAGGGTTGTTGAGTCCTGGAAAAGTCTGTCAAACCATGTGGTAAATGTCCCTAGTGTGTAAATAGGTAAAAACACAGACTCAATAAGTTCTGGTCGGATCACCCATGTAAGATCCTGTCAGACCATTTAATATTTGATTTCACCTTTTAACTTAAAGATTTCTGGATTTTAATTTCTTTATATCAATATGCAACGGAAGTCAAGTATTAGCATAGGAACATTAAAATGCGCCGCAAGAAGCTACCTGAAGCTTTCCATTGGTGTCGACTACAATATCAACTCATGGTCTCACAATGACCGGGGCTAACCAAATTTCCTTTATCTAGGAGTGTTATTAATGAACTCCACAGGATAGAACTAAACGCTGTCAGAAATTTTGAGAGTTAAAAATGACTAGTATGTATCCTTATTTATTTATTTGCTTTAATTTGCATGAAGCAAACACTGGATAATTTTGTTGTTACTCTTAATGTGACAGCAGTTTAACAAAGAATCTCAGCATTGGCAATAATATGTATACACAGAAATCTTAACATTCCTGCTGTTTCCCCAAATAATTTATTTTGTTAATTCGTGAATCTACAGCATGTAACTTCTGACAGTTTATTTAAACAATGGATTTATAAACAAATTGGCAATGATACAGTATGGCATGTTTATAAAAGCTGTGAAGCATGGAACACAAATCTGAGGCAATCATAGCTACTTACAGCAGAATCGTATGTTAATGCTTCCTTCAGCGACTCAATATCCTCAAACTCCACATAGGCAAATCCTACAATGTAATTGGTACTAAGTTTAACAACAAGAGCCAGGAGCATTACCCAACTTGACTTTTGTTACATATAAATTTAAACAATCTTTAGAAGGAAAATTATTTGTATTGAAGGTTGCAATAGTGTTCATCTTACTTAGTTTTACCATTAATGATAACAGTAATTTTAAACACATTTTTTACTTTAAAGACACAAGCACTGGTTTATAGGAAAAGCTACACAGTAATGCCCATATTTACCTTTAAATGTGTCTGTTTCTTTGTCTCGGACGAGACGCACACTTTTGACCTAAAAAAATGTCAAATGAAATCATTTTAAATTACACTTACATTTGACATCTCAGTCACAAAAATTTGGTTCTGATAAAATGATTCATAACACAACAAAGATTATCCCAGCACAATTGGTATAATTCCAGTTTCATTAAACTGAAGAGCAGGACCAATTACAGCTTTGATTTGAAGAAATAGTGGGGACTGTCTGAGCAAATCAACTAATATTTAAATAACCCAGAATGCACCAAAGAGCTTCCAGATTTCAAAATAAAATCCTTATCTGGGGTACAATGTACCCTATGTACTAAAAACAAAGGGGGAACAGTGCAACAGTATATATTTTATACCTTTAGGTCCTGAAAAATAATTTCAAGATCACCCTGTACAATGCCAAATGGGAGATTTCCTACATAGCATGTGTACGGGGGCTCTGTAGGCAGAGGCTTGCGTCCACGATCACGTCCTCCACCATAACTGTTGCCTCCAGATCGGCCACCACCATAACTCCTACAATACACAATTGTTTTTTATATATCTATCTACAGGGGGTGTCCGATGATTTGCCCCAAAACCGTAACGCCCCAAGCTGTTACACACCAAATTTGATTCATATCGACCCAACCAGTTCGCCCTCAAAAAAGATAAAGCCCCACCTATTTCGCCACAAAAATTCCTCAATTAAATTTGTTTATTTGACAACTTTTAAAGTGAAATATCTACCTTTTGTATAATATTCTTGAAGATAGACATTCAAAAAATAGGATCTGTTGCAATTCGTTTGATGTTTGGGACATATTTTTTGTGTGTGCCGTAACGTTAGATCAATATCGTAACATATCTATAGTATCTATGTTAAGCAGTACTCTTTGTTTATTTTAGATAATATAGATATTGTATCATGTCAGTCATGTAATTGTAAATTTTAGATAACATATATGTACAGAATAATTAGATTTTATACACGCGTGCTGTGGATCGAAACAAACAAAAAACAATGTTATGTGTGTTGCAAGAGAGAGCAAGAATGCGTAATTATATTTGTATATGTATATAGATCTACTTCTTTTTCCACCCAAGTAATTTTTTTTTTTTTCATTAACTAATTCAAAAGAATAGCTATAAAAAATCAATCCATAACGTGTTCTTCCAAGTTACATTCTTCCATGGACTTCAGTGGCGGACCCAGGGGTGTTGCCCTAGTTGCCCTGGCCACGGCAACACCCTTTTTTCTGTGTCCAAAAATAATCTGGACCAAGGTTTTTGAAGATTTTCCTCTATTTCATATGGGATTTCCTTCTACATGTAATACCAACCATCCCTTAAACTATGATTTTTCTATGGCTTCCCTTTGCCAGCAGTCTGAATATCTATATATGCCTAAGGGTGTTGCCCAAACAAGGCGTCCACTACTTATACTCTAGTTGATGCTTATTAATCACCTGATGAAGTGATGCTAAGGAAGGTGCTTCATTGTCTTTGAAATTTTTGAAATTAATATCTTTTAATTGGTATAATAAATCACTCCTGGTGACCTTGTGAACTTGGAAACCACTGGTGAAAAACCTATATACCTAATTCCAACAGATGGTATAGTCCTCTCCCAACTGTCAGGGTGATCACCACACAGTCAAGTTTATGCTGTTTGACGGCCCTTTGCAGTATCACCGTAAATGTAAATGAAAAACTCTAAACAATAGGGGATTAATCCTCTTTGTAGGGGTCTCCAGTGGTCAAGGCTCACCGGACGGACTCTATCTAATCTTATTGTTATAATGTCACGGTGTGGTGATCACCCTGTCAGCCGTGGCGAACATATTGGATTTCTGATTGACCCGAAAAACAACAACATTTTGTCAGGACCATGAGTCGATCATTCGTACTAAGTTTCAGTTCCATCGGCCTAGCAGAACTTGACTTTAAGTTTGAAATAGTTTTTAAAAATGTCAGCCGTGGCGGCCATAATGTATTTCTGATCGACCCGAAAAATAACACTTGGTCAGGGAGATGTCAGTAACCTTCCCATGAAATATTAATGAAATCCCTTTGCCAGTATTTCAGCTTAAGTTAAAAAATGTAAAATGTTAACGGACGACGGACAGCAATAGGTCACTTGAGCTAAAGCGCAGGTGACCTAAAAACCACCACATAAAAACATTAAAACAAATATTATGTAAAAATATTTTGTGAACCGCTTTTAGACGACCCATGAACAAGGATGTGATAAAGCGGTATATAAGAAACTCAAATTATTATTATTATGAAGAAAAATGTACCAATTTGAGTGTTGATGTTATGCGTTCCTAATCATTATTTTTTGAAGTTAAACTGGCAATAACTACAGTAACTTCACAAGATAGCTAATCAGATATCGTTCAGTATAGGTTCGTAGTGATTGGGGTGATAAAGAGTTTTTGGGCAATAAAGCTTGAAGGGCGAAACAGATTTTGGGGCGATATGGTTGTCATATTTGGGGCAAAATGAAATGAAAATTGAAGCATTGTGAAAAAAAGTTTGGCCGAAATGGTCCGTGACGTAACGGTTTTGGGTTTTAGTGATTTTTTTAGTTTGACACACAACTGGAGATTATCTTCCTAAAAGCGACCCAGCGTTGTATCGGTGTTGCCGACAAGAGACACATTCGAGTTGCATTTGAGCTGTCGATGTTGACCAATTGGGCTCTTTGACGCTTTACAATAAACAAACATCGCCGAATTATCCTGGTGACGTCTGCACATAAAAAAAACACCGTACGTGCATTCGAGAGCATGCCATGTGATAAACATCTGCTAACAAACATGGGGTCCGTAAAAATTAGTTTGAATGCATCAAGGGTTTATTACGGCCGATCGATTGCAACTTTTTTATGTTCAAACATTAATTAGCCATAACAAAAACTGTCAACCTTTGATTATAGTCATTATCATATCCTCGTTTTCCACCATAGTTTGAATAATCGCCTCCAAAGGAATCAGCCATGTTGCATGTCGGAAAATAAGACGGAAGTACTGATTTTGACATGCGCAGATTGATTAAACGATATCACCCAATGGTACTTCAACGTCATACTTTATTTTGTGTGCATGAAAACCAGTGGGGCCCGTCAATAAATCACAAGAATTAAAAGCTTATTTCGTAAAGAGCTATGGCGGAAAACTGACCGTATTGCCCTAAGTCGGCATTTTTGAAAACGGAATATTTACAGTGACGGGGTTTCCCAGACTTAAAGAATACTTACAATACTTTCCCATCCGAGGACCAACTTTAAAACTTTTTGATTCCGTGATGTAATATGCAAAATCAAATCGTATGTCGTAAATGTGGTCCTCCTTTGGGAAAGTGCTCAAAATATTGAAAAACTGGGTTGATCAAGTTTTCAAAACTGCGACAGATGTTCCATTTTATTGATATTTTTTAAAAACATACCTATTGATTTATCCATGCATACGCGTGTACAGTACAGCTACGCTTTGTAAAGTTGAGACATAATTTTAAATGATATTTATGAATTGCTTTATTCATTATCTAAACACAAACAAACGATGCCGAAATACAAAATATATGGGATTGTTTCGTTAGAATAAAAAAAGGCAGAGAAAAAAATGAAGTGTTATTATCGCAAAGATATTACCGAACATGCGGGGAAATTCATCGTCGAGGACAGTCTCATTTGTTTAAAATTGCAGGAAGACTGCAGCACAAAGTAAGAAGCGCAATACACGTGTAAGACATGCTACTCGAAAACTATATATATGTAATTTTACCATTCCAAGGTAAAGCCGGGAAGAACAAAATCAAGGTGTGTTTTTTTTAAGAAAACATGTAACGGCATGACGTAGGCAGTAGTAATGATAATCAAATCCTTTCAAACTTGGTAGTACAGTAATGACTGTATGATCTTGTGTTTTAAACAGCATAATGCGAAATACGCATTTTGTTGAGTCTTTATCGTGAAACGCCTTAGATTCGTCTGTTTACAATAATCTATTTTACGGGATTATGGGCGGATTGGTCGAGTGGTTAACACTCCGGCCTTCTAAGCAGGCGACCGGGGTTCGAACCCCGAAGTCGTCATACGCATGGAATATTCAGAGAAAATGTTTTTCTCCTGCCCACACAACTCCAACAACCCATGTGGAGTATAAAATGGTCTGGGGTGGATGTAGCGGTATCTGTGCTGTGGCATTCAAGTGCTGTGGCATTCAAGTGAGGTGGCACTATAAATGATACCGTTGGAAGTACGGTCCCACTTCAAACAGAACACAATACATCTCCAGCACATACGCAGGCATTCACACATAGGGATATATTAGCCAGGTGGTATAGGACTAGTAGTTAGCGCCTGATAAGGCAGCTCCTGCTAATTGTATGCACTGTAAAGCGCTTTAGAGTGGCTTATGCAAGCTAGATAGAGCGCTATATCAAATCAGGTATATTTCTTTTATTTATTTATTTATACCTGAGAACGCGTCATAACAGTGCACGGTTGGAAGCGCGCACACTGGGGAAATAGGCATAGCAACCCGATAGCTCTTTAATTTTTATAAATCAGACAAAAACTGGAACCTGTTCAGGAAACAAAATTAAAAAGACAGGCCATCAAATTATATTTTGATGAACGGTGTGGTGGGGGAACAAGTCGAATGACTTTTGGCCCACTATTCGTCCTATATCGAGTAAAGGTGGAATGACAGATGAAATGTACAATTACAGGAAAACGACAACCTAGTTACATATCCACCAGATGTTTATAATGTTTTTAAAGGGTTTTTTCGTAAATGTTACCACCGATATAGGTGTTAATACAAAAATTGTCCTGAAGGAGCAGATCACCTTAGTGTTTTAGCAATAAGAGAAAACATTGATCTGCCCGAATGCAATTTGAGCTTTAAAGAGATAAGTGAAGAAAAAGTACTATACAATATATAAAGAAAACCGGCCCAAAAATGGCTACAGGCAGGCGCGTAGCTACCATGTAATCCAATAAGCCCGGGCTTGCACATGATTTTGACAAGTATAGGTTTTCATCACGTTTTTTTCTTCTTGCTGATACTATAAAGTGGAGTTTAAGTTTTGAATATTTAGTATACATATGTAATTCCTCAGATATGATACATTGTTAATAGTTAGTGGGGCAACCTCGCTTCTCGAAATGACCAACAAATAACAGGAGCAAGTATAAGGAACCAGTTACAAATCACAAACAGAAGACGAGACTGAGTAAAGGTGACAGTGGGGGTAACCTCGCTTCCCAATTAACTCGGATCAGATTATGAGAAAGACAAACCCAATTGCATGTTCACTAATGCAGAAGTATCAAATGCATTTATCAAGATTAGGTAAAA